CCGCGCTGCGTGAGTGCAGGCCGGCGGGGGGAAGGGGTTGGAGAGCCCGAGCCACTCAGCCTTACCCGGGTGCTTTCAAGAATTTAGGGAAGCAGGTGTCGCAGTATGTGCCGTACCATGCCTTCGGGTGCGACAGCGTTGTCACAAAATGTGCTGTTCAATCTTGAGCGTGGGGTATGACAGGGTTAGCCGTGCTTAAGTACCGCTAAGGAAATAGGCTCAGCCGAAATAGGGCCAGGTCTATGCTGGCAGGCAGTGCAGATCTTGGTGCAGTGGCCAAGACAAATTGATGTATCCAGTCAACACATTTTCTAGGTGTTATGTGCCAAAAACTGTTCCGTATAAATTCTGGGTATACAAGGAAAAAAGCAGTTACAAGTTTAGTGGGGCATCCGAGTAGGGGGCAAACATAAAACCTGGCCTGTTGCAAATCACAGCAGAGATAGGGAAAAAAAAATAAGAGTTAATGCTCTCTGACATGTATGGGGAGTCTGTGTATTAAATGTTAAGTAATGTCTGACTGCCTCCAGAAATTCCAGTGCAGAAATAGTAGTTGCCTAACAAATACGTACTTGTTGAATTCCAAATGCACAAATCAGCTAGAAAGAGATGGGAAAGTTTGAGGTTAATGGTAGGGATGGGGGAAGAGAGAGTGATTAGAAAGGAATTTCAGGCAGAGGGAAAAAGAGAGATACAGAAAGTGAGACAGCATCCAAAAGAAAAGCCTGGGCCCCACTTAGAGAGGTAAGTAAGAATAGAGAAGACAGTGGTGAAAGACTGTGAATAAGAAAATATCTGACCCTTACTGAATACCTATCATGTACCAGGTACTACCCACACACTTTATATGTGTTATTAGCACCAACTCAACAGCAACAAAAACATTGATCCTACCCCAAGCCTATGACATACTGTATTATTATCCTCTATTGTAGATCAAGAAATAAAGTTATGGAGAAAAATAATTTGTCTAGTGTCACACAGCTAAGCAAATGACCCAGCCATAATTTGAACCTAGATATTTTACCTTCACAGTCCACATTCTGAGGCATCTGCTATGGAATTTAAATTGTATTCACTATTAAAGCAGTACTCACCCTGAAACGTTAAGACCCTGAGGTACCCCATAATAAAAGGATTGCATGGCCAAGTCAATTTGGGAAACCGCTTTCCCCTGAATTTCCCTCTTGGAAAATCAGGATCTATATTAATACCTAAAGGGGCTCTGAGAAGGCCTGAAGAAGGGGAAAGTTCATTAGCTGTGTTTAAATTCTTTGCTCTAAACCCTGTGTCTTCTTACAGCTGTTTATCATCCAACTCGTTTCCCTTGGAACCAGTGTTGCACAGAATATTTTTGGGCCATTTACATAGGAACAGAGTGCGGCATGAGTAGAATGATGTCAGCACATTCTAGTGACAGTGGACAGTGGAGAGGAAAAGCCACAGATGTGGACTTAGGAGGGAGACACAGTATGGCAGGTCACAGGGTTAGGCCATCGGCCTCCTTAAAGACTGCCAAGAGAACTGATGAAAAAGAACAAAAGCTTATCCCAAAGGGAAAAGGAAAATGTCCCAGGCAGGGACATAATAAGGCCAACGTTTTGGAGGCAAAAAAGAAAGATTGTGGCTCATTCAAGGAAAAAAAAAAAAAAAAATCCAGAAGCCAGAGCCCAGAGATGGAGCGAAATGAAGTGCTGAGCTGGAGAGATCAGCCGGGCCAGCCTTGAACTTTAGCTACCACGGAAGCAACTTTAAACATCATTAGCCACAGGCCCCTGACCATACTATGACGAATAGAGGTGGCTGATGTGGAGCCACGGAAGCCAGCTTCAAAGTTAGTAGAGTTATGGAGGAGAGATGACAGGAGTCAGAGAGTGAAGAAATATCTGGATCTTTGATGCATGGAAAAGGGCAAGGGAGAAGAGAGCATTGGAATAGCTGAAGGCAGCACCAGACAGAACCTGACATTTAAGGAATGGTTAGAGTGGGGAAGGAGACAAAAAATGCGAGAAAACCCAGAAAGGCAGGGAGACCTGGAAGCCAAGGAAAAGAGCTCCCCACCAAGCAAAGGGGAGCTCCCAGTGATCAGTGCTGCCAGAGAGGAGCTAAGAGGTCTGAGAAGTGAGGAGCCAGCCTGAACGCTGAGACTTGTAGAGGCAGCAGCCTGGTTTCACGAACCAAGAAATATTCTGGAGGCAAGAAGAAGGAGCCAGCATTGTAGGCCAGTAGGGGAGAACCAGAAGATGAGTGATCCTGAGAATTTCAGGCATGAAAATTCTTAATTATGATGAGAAGGATCAAGTAAAGGAGAGTGCGAGGAAATGCAATACAGATGGAGTCCAGAGAATGCAACCGCAGGATAGGAACCTTAGATAGAGAAAATGGTGAACCGAGGCAGAGGGGAGGGAGGGAGAAGTAAAAAACATTAAGATGTCACGTACATGTGTCAGCTCCCCACAATGAATGTAATCGTTGTGTACTATAAACGTACTAATAAAAATTCAAAAAGTTTTTTAAAATGTGAGCTGAGGTAGCCTCAGAGCTTGAAATAAAAATTGGGGGGAGGAGGAAGCAAGTGCACCTAAGTGCTTCACTTTGGAAAGCTTTGTGCCTGGCTATTTTTCTTCCCTTTGCTTTGCTTTGATTGTCCTTGCACAGCTTGACTCAGTGCAAGTCCTGGAAAGTAAATCCCACCCATGAGAGATCAAACTAGCCTCCTTGGCCTACTTTCCGGTCCCTTGTGAGAGCCTGCGGTCGGCTGGGACCGCTAGGTGGCAGGTTTGACTTGTGGTGTCTCTCACTCCTCTCTTTCAAAGTGTTTTGACTCAAAATTCTCAGGAAGTTTTGAGTTCTCTCTGAGGCCACCTAAAATCCATCCTCTCCCTTCCACCGCCTCTCTCCACCTCGAATGTTTTAATTCTAAATTTGAATTTTGGCAGGTTGGGGAAAGAGGTCATGCGCTCAAGTATTTACTGAAACCTCAATATGACAAGGTCCTACTGGCCATAAAAAGAAATTTGAAACTGAGCGGGAAGAAAGAGAAGCCAGAGGAGGGACTGCCCAAGAAATAGAAGACAACCAGGACAGGGAAGGGAGGGAAAGTTTCCCAAACTGAGGATGTGGAAAATCCGTGAGGAAGCCAACTAAGAAGTGAACAGAGATGATAGGCTCCTGGAGCAGGGTGTGCCCGGTGTGTGAGGCCCCTGGGGTTTCCCTGTGGCATAAGTAATGCAGAGCCTGGGGCTGCAACGTTGGAGCTCAGGAGTGGGGACATGATTTGGTCAAAGCTTCTAAACTTGTAAGAGCTGGCTCCCCAAGGAAACCAAGGACCTCATTTTAAACCTGTGTGTACCCCCAGAATACTTACCTCAGCTGCCCACAGGCTTTTAATAGGTCCAAAGAATGATCCTACAGGGCTGGAAAGATTTTGGAGAGGGTAGAATGGACTCTTGTCCTTTGTGACTTCAGGGGATCTTTCTATTGTAAAATGTCTGCCAATATAACTATATAGTTTGATAGTCTGAGACTAAAATGCTTTAAGACTTACCATTTTTTAGTTTCCATTTTCACTTCACATTTTCCTTTTTTCTTTTCTCTAGATGCCAGTGCCCAACTCATTCTCACACTTACTCCCAAGGTAATGCATTTTGAGTTTTTACTCTAGCCACAATTTGGATTCTACGATTGACATTTCTAATATAGTTGGGCAAAGTGTAAAAGAAGAAAATGAAGGCCTATGAAAGTTGATGACAATATTGCTGCCTTTTCACTATGAAATTGGTTGTATATAGCTCCAGCTACCCAAAGTGAGTGCTGATTATATGACACTGATTAAGTGTTTGGATCAGATATATACTTAGTACTATTTATATGCTTTTCTGTTTTGAATAGAATATTTGCCATACCTAAAAAGATGCACCGACAGGATTTTAGGAATGTCTAGGTTTATCAAACAAAACTAATCAGGGTGTAGGAAGGTTCTAAGACATCACTAAAAGCAAAAGGCTAAAGAACAGGTAGTTCCTAGAAGGAAACATTCTTCCTTGCTCCCAGAAGAAACACTTGTTTGTATCCATTTTTAAAATAACATTTATGGATGGCAGGGGATTTAGCTTAGTGGTTCCTACGCCTGCCTAGGAAGCGCAAAGTCCTGAGTTCAATCCCAGGTACAAAAAAGAAGGAGGGAATAAAGTAAAAAGATTTCAAAAGATTTCAGCTCTCACCAATGTATTAATCCTTACCAAACACTATTGTCCACAATCAGGAAACATTTGGTGACTCAGCAATTAAAAGTAATGACAAAAGATTTCAGCTCTCACCAATGTATTAATCCTTACCAAACACTATTGTCCACAATCAGGAAGCTCGTAGTAGCTTTAGCATGTCCTCACAGTATCACATGAGTTACTATCACAAAAAATGAAGCCGGGCGTGGTGGGATTACACGCCTATAATCCCAGCACTCAGAAGGCTGAGACAGGAGGATTGCTGTGAGTTCAAGACCAGCCTGGGATACATAGTGAGTTCCAGGTCAGTCTGAACTACATAGGGAGACCCTGTCTCAAAAAACAAAAACAAAAACAAAAAATGATGTTTGCCTCAGGAAGAAAAGGTCAAATCTCACACCGAGACAAGGAAGGGGAAGGGGGTAGGGTTGCTGAGCATGCAGGATGCTAAGCAAGAAGCCTACAGAGAAGCCTGGTGAGGAGTAGAACAGAGACAATATAACCCAGGCCTTTTCCTGCTCAAGGAGTGGCTCATCCCTCAGGACAAGCCTCCTAGTCACTAACCACCATCAACAAGGTAGAGGCATGATTTTCTTTATATGTATAAATTACAAAATGCAAAGATCTTACTGTGTGATAAATTACTTCTGTAGAAAAAAATCAATTCAAACAAATTACGCAGGTGCTATTAAAAGTATAAGCAGGACTCCAAAGAATTTGCTAGTAGTTGTGCCCAAACGATATCTCAATTCTAGACTCTAGAGGATTTGTTTAACATTATAGTTTCCAAAAAAAAAAAAAAATTGCGGGGGGAGCTGTACAGAAGACAGAACCCAGAACCTTGCACGTGTCATACAAGAACCCAACTACTGAGTTATATCCCAGCCCTGTTTTTTAATCTTAATGCAAGAAATATTTTAAATCACTCTATTTCCTCAAAATCAGCAGAAAGTTAGACATTTTATTTTAAAATGAAATTATTGACTTAAACTTATGTACTATTATCAAGCTTGAATATTTTTAGATAAGGGTAATGTTTATGTTCGCTGCTAGATTTTACTATTGAAAGAATAATATTGATGCTTTATTTTTGAGGCCTACTCTGATGCTAATTTCTACATTTCCAGCTCCTGGACTTTCACCTTCTGGGAAAACAACAGATTATGCCTTCGAGGTAGATTTTATCCATCCATTTTATCGTTTATGAATGGCCTGGGGGGAAAACTTCTTTTGAGATCTGTTATTTAATGTTCCATAATCTCTGTGTGATTAGGTCCTATTTAACAAAATATCTTGTAAGGGTAATGGAATATAAATCTTCTGAGCCAAGAAATATTTAACAGCTTTCATCTATACAGCCATTAAAAATTCCCAATTTCTGCCGGGTATGGTGGCGCACTCCTGAAATCCCAGCACTTAGGAGGCTGAGGCAGGAGGATCAATGTGAGTTTGAGACCAGCCTGGGCTACATAGTGAGTTCCAGCTCAGTCTCAACTACATAGTGAGACCCTGTCTCAAAAAACAAAACAAAACAAAAATTCCCAGCTTCATACATTCTCCAAATTGTGCATTCTGTGTTGTCTTTTTGTTTTGTTTTTTTTGTTTGTTTATTTTTGCTACATTCATTTTATTTATTTGTTTCTTTGTTTATTCTTTTATTTATTTTTGGTACCAGGGATCGAACTCAGGACCCTGTGCTTGTGAGTCAGGGGCAGAACCACTAAACTAAATCCCCAGCCCTTGTTTGCTAATTTTTTGGTCATACTTTATGGAGTTCAGCTGGCTTTCAACTCAGTATAAAGCCCAGGCTGGTCTCAAACTTGCAGAAATCCTCAGCACTCAGCCCTCAGAGTGCTGGGCTTACAGGCATGTGCCAACATTCCTGTCCCTCTAAATTAAATTTTTGTAAATATCAATGCCAAAAGAAGTCAAAGTAATCTACTGAAACAAGAATAAAAGAATTATTAATTCTGGGTTTCGGGGGGGGGTTTGTTTTGTTTTTTGGTTTTTCTGTGTGTGTATTTTTGAGACAGGATCTCACTATGTAGTTGAAACTGACCTGGAACTCGCTGTGTAGCCCAGGCTGATTTCGAACTCACAGCGATCCTCCTGCCTCAGCCTCCCGAGTGCTGGGATTACAGGCATGTGCCACCACACCTGGCCTATTCTGGTGTATTTTTATTACACTGTAATTATATAATTATTTGTAATTATTCATTGAAATTCCTGACTCCTTTTAGTCCAAGGTCATAAATTGAAATGTCACCAAGGACTCACTGAGCACAGGCCCCAAATTAAGGTGGGGCCTTCACTCCACCCGCCATGATTGCTGCCGCATAAAAATGCAGTCCTAGCCAGGTGTGGTGGTGTACGCCTGTAATCCCCACACTCGGGAGGATGAGACGGGAGGCTGAGGCTGCAAGTTCAAGACCAGTTTGGGCTACACAGTGAGTTCCAAAGCAGTCTGAACTACATAGTGAGACCCTGTCTCAAAAAACAAAACAAAAAAAAAAGCCTGGTGTGGTGGTGCATGCCTGTAATACCAGCACTCGAAAGGCTGAGGCAGGAGGATCGCTGTTAGTTCGAGACCAGCCTATGCTACATAGTGAGTTCCAGGTCAGTCTCAACTACATAGTGAGACCCTGTCTCAAAAACAAACAAACAAAAAATTTTTTAAAATGCAGACCTAATATTGCCAGGTTAAGAGACATACAAGTCTAAGTGGTCTGATTGGATTTTTCTAACTAAAATTTTTAAAAAAGAAGAAAAGATTTAAACATGGATCAAACAAAATGTTTCTTCACATAAAAGTAGGACCCATCACCCATTCTTTCATGTGTAAAATGTATGAAGCCATGTTTTCTTATTCATAGTTGTGCTACCAGATCCTGCTATGGTGCCTGGAATATAGCCAGCACTTAGTAGCAGTGGACGAGTGGGAGAATAGTTGAATACAAATGGATGCAGGCATGCATGCAAAGGTGGATGGATGGACAGAGGGATGGAGTGGAAAAAATACGTGGAGGAGATAGTAATATTTAAACTGGAAAGTAATTGAGAGCTAACTTAGGTATGGAGATGGGAGAAGACAAGCATATGAAGCTGCAGGAACAGCTGAGAATTTATGATGTTTGGGGAAAATGATAAATAAATATTTCCATTGGACTGGAGCAAGGCTTACTTAAATTGTGAGACCAGATGGTGGATGACCTGGGAGACCTATTCTCTCAACAGTGAGGGACCATTTCAGACTTTTGGAAATGTGTAGCCAGTTCTCGAATACGTCTTATACCTAAGTCTTTTCCCTTCTTTTCAGATGGCTGTTTCAAATATTAGGTATGGAGCAGGAGTTACAAAGGAAGTAGGCATGGCAAGTATTTGAGACGTGTATGGTCTCCTATAAATGTTGTGGATCCCATGAAACAAGTGCTAGCAGACAAGAACCAAGTCTTTTATTTTAAAGATGTATAATGTTAAGTTTGCCCATAGGGTCTATTACAATTCTAGTTCAGTCAAACCCAATTTATGAATTTTTTTTAGGATCTCCAAAACATGGGGGCTAAAAATGTTTGCCTGATGACAGACAAGAACCTCTCCCAGCTCCCTCCTGTAAAAGTAGTTATGGATTCCCTTGTGAAGAATGGCATCAGTTTTCAAGTTTATGATAATGTAAGAGTGGAACCAACAGACGCAAGGTACTTGTGTATCATTATTTCCTTTAAGCAGAAGCCAACACATATCACTTGTTGAAAACTTGCCCTAAGCCTTATTTAATGGTATGACAATTTGTTTATAAAAAATGTAGCATATGGGCTGGGTATTTAGCTCAGCAGTTCGGTGGTCTGCCTTGCAAGCACAAGGACCCAAGTTCAATCCCTGGTTCCAAAAAAAAAAAAAAAAATGTAACATAATGGTTTTTATTTTCTCTTTTCCAAGCTTCATGGATGCCATTGACTTTGCCAAAAAGGGAGTTTTCGATGCCTATGTTGCTGTGGGTGGTGGCTCCACCATGGACACCTGTAAAGCTGCTAATCTATACGCATCCAGCCCTAAGTCTGAGTTCCTTGATTATGTTAATGCCCCCATTGGGAAGGGAAAGCCGGTGTCTGAGCCTCTTAAGCCTTTGATCGCAAGTAAAGATTGCTTGTTTTGTTTCATTTTGTAATTAGCAAAATTACAAAAGATACCAGCTATTGATTTTAGAGCCTATGTTTCTGAAACTTTCTGATTTGTTTATTATGAATCAGTGCTATTTTTGGAGATCAGAATAAACAATTCGTTAATTTTAAACTTCTGATCTTTGTTGTTGCACAGAGAGTCAATTTGGGTCGGGGGAGGAAGTTTGCAGATTTAGGCTGCAGAGTCACTGTGGGGAGGGGAAGGTCCCTGCTGACATTTGACTAGATCCCTGTAGTGGCAGGCCTGTCCTCCAAACCCATCTGTTTTGTCCCATTTTGACAGCCACCATGCACTTTAAGGAGAACATTTGCTGTTATTTTTCAATGACTCAACCCTTTCTCTCACATAATGTCTCTTCAGCTGACCTCAGGCTTTGTCTTCTCCCTGGGACATGTTGCCAGCATGGCCTCATCATTCTGGATGACATCTGCTCCGTGGCTGCCCAGGACAGAGACACACAAACCCATGTCAAAATAGCTTATGCGTTCAATAAGGGACCTTGGGAGTTTCCAGTCCTTTTTTTCCTCTTCTGTTTTAATGGCTGCTAGCATATTTCTATTTAAAGTTTTGTAGCTAAAATATATTAACTAGTAACTGAGAAATACCCTCAGTATAAGTTTTGTCTTCCATTCTCCCCCTCTCCTGCTCCTATTTTGAGTGGTCCTGTAATGAGACACAAATTCATTGGTGGCAGATGAACTGCTTTGATGTGAAAATCAGCAGGGAGCAGCATAATTGGGGTCTGGTAAAATTATGTCAGTATCACACAGAGGGATGATTAGTAAAGTTTAGAAATGACAGAACTACAAAACCACAGAGCCAGCAAAGGCAGAGCATTCCTATGCTTGCTGCCAAGAGGGAATAAAGATGTCTTTCAGAGACAGCAGATATGTGTTCTTACCAAGCAGCCTACATTTGAATACCTAACTGCAGCTCCACGAGCTCTGGAACTAAAGGAGGCTGAGGTTCCCAGAGCTCATTGCTGTTAGTATAGACGGAGACATCATACGCATGTGATTAACATACATGCCTGTTAATAGCTGCAGACATCGTGTATGTTAGTGCAGATGCAAAAGTAACATATTCAACACACTCCCATGTCATTGTAGACTCAGAAAACATGTATTAAGTATACACTATACAGATATAAACAGCATAAAAAACGTATTATGCATGCATGTTAATGCCAATATGGACATCACGCACACCTGTTAATATGGATTACAGAAGCCATATGAACATGGTACATATGCATTCATGCTAATATAGACACAGACACTACACTTATTAATTGCATGTACATTCATGCAGCAGATACAGGCATGATACGTGTTAAACATGCATGTGCATTCATGAATATACCAACAAGCATGTTAAACATATATACCTGGTAATACAGATATATGCCTCATACTCACCTGTTAATGCTTCTCCAGGCATCATGCATACTAATGCAAACACATATCATACAAGTTAGGCTTACATGCATGTTCTGTCGATACAGATTTCAGGCAAGCAATAGGGTGAGCAAAGCTTCCTTCTCTGTTTCTTATCTCTAAGGTTGAATTGAATATATCCACTGACCTTTATTTAGATGCCTTATTAAAATTAATTTTCTTTTATTCAAGTCCCAACTACCTCAGGAACTGGGAGTGAAACTACTGGAGTTGCCATTTTTGACTATGAACACTTGAAAGTCAAAACTGGTAAGAACTTTGCCCTTAATTTTTAAAATATTCTCTCTCTTACCTTTCAACCCCTTTTCTTGAATCCTATTACTTAGAAATCAAGCAGTTGTAGAGTTAATGAAAATATATATGAATGTACGCATCTTCATATAAAGATAGTCTAATAAACTTCTGAGAATTACCTACAAAATCATATTGAAATGCCATGAATTTTAATTGACCATTCCTCTGCTCTTGATAGTGGCTATATATCAGTGATCAGTGGGTGCTCCCTTTCTTTGACAACTTATTTTTTAAATCAGTTTTATTGAGATGTGCTTCTTATACAATAAAATGCACACATTTAAGAGTCTGACTTGATAAGTTTTGACAAATGTATATGCCCACGTTACTACTACCCCAGTCAAGATATTAAATATTTCAGTCACTCCAGAAAGTTGCACCATGCACCATGTTAGCCAATCCTTCCAGCCCCATTCCAGGTCACCTCTGTTCTGCTTTCTTAGTCTTTTTAACCAATTTTCTGTGTCTGCCACTGACTCTTGGCTAATGTGGTAGGAATGTCCCTTTCCTATCTTGTTTCCAGGATTCCAGGCCTTTGCAGCAAAATAAATTGATATTCAATAACAAACTAAGGCTAACTTCTTTTTAATTATTTTATTTTTGACATTGTTAAATAGTAACCAGCATTTCAATTTAATTTAAAAAGACTTAGATAGTATTATCTCATGTGATCCCTACAACTCTGAGGATCAGGGATTTAGCTCAGTGGTGCCACCACCTGCCTCACAAGCGCAAGGTCCTGCCTGAGTTTCAACCTTCTTACCCAAAACAAAACACCTACAAGAACTCTGGGAGGGATGGAGCCCCATGTTATTATTTTACAGAGAACTTAGAGAGACTAATTGACTAGCCCAAAAACAAAAAATAAGTTGCAGAGCAAGGGCCAGATGAATGTAATAATAAAAAACAGATAAGACCTGCCTGCAGTGTCCACCAGTGTCTGTGGTATAAATGCTTCCATCCTGGCCCATGGTGTCACTCTTTTAGGAGTTGGGAAGAGATATGTGTACTTGGCTCTTGTAGGAACAGCTTCTGCACACCACTGAAAGATCCAGAGTTCTGACTTCACATCTTCCATTGCTCCTTGCTGCCTCCCTACATGAGAATGAATCTTTTCTCGTGTTGTGGTGTGTGTGTGTGTGTGTGTGTGTGTGTGTGTGTGTGTGTGTATTTTAGGGTAAATTATTATCTTTAAAATATTTAATGTTTTAAAAATGGTGCCCATCACATTAACATCTACTGAAAAATTCTTATGTTTTAGGTATTGCTTCGCGAGCCATCAAACCCACACTGGGACTAGTTGATCCTCTGCACACCCTCCACATGCCTGGCCAGGTGGTTGCCAACTGTGGTTTTGATGTGCTTTGGTAAGTAAGTACCTGTGCCACCTGGAGGGACTTTTTCAGTACCAGGTCTATGGAAAATATTTGACTGCCCAAGTGTCCAGTGATAGACACTGATAAACCTTCACTGATTAATGTCCCACAACATGCTCTGCACTGGCTGTGATTAACCTCTTTCCTAGAAGACAATATTTTACAACTAAAAAGGCTGTAAAGGCTGGTGGTTGGGTGCAGCCTGGTGTGAGCTACAAACAAACCTGCTATTTGAAATGGACCACCCTACCCTTGCCCATAGCTACAGGCTCACTGATAAAGGAACAACTTAAGGTGACATGTGATGTCTCAGGACCACACCACCTGGCTTTATGGCCACACAAACTAGGGAAGGCCTAAGGCTGTACCTCAGAGGATGTAGGGAAGGGAGCTTGTATCTCCAAAATCTCAGCCTAGATATAGGCACTGTGTCAGTACTTGACACACATCATTACTTCCCTACAGCACTGTGCAATATGTCAGCTTCATAAATACAAAAATAAAACTAGAGTTCAGATGTTTAGTGACTTGCTTGGAGTCTCACTGTAAGCTCCATTGGCTTTGGTTGCAATGTGCCAGTGGCTCCCAACTGTATTTCTATTGCAGACCTCACTTCTGACCTCCAGTCCATTAGTTCCAGTGGCCTCGAGCAAGACCTATGGGAACTTCATACCCCGTATGTCCCAGGCCACTCTACTTCATCCATTTGCATGTACATTTTTACATCTCTGAAGACAGGACATATCTTAAAATCTATAGATGGTAGTATTTTCTTTATCCTTGGCAGTACAATTTTAAAATGATGTATCTTATAATGCATGGCATCTTAAATTTGATGAAATGTGGTACTTCTCTTGATGACCCCACTTCCCCTGAGTCCACTAGCTCAGCAAGTAGTGGGACTCAGTATCTTGTCCTTATTCTGCTCCTCTCTCTCTCTCTCTCTCTCTCTCTCTCTCTCTCATTAGTGCCTATTATACAGAATAGCTTGTTTCATTTTGGCACTCTCATGTGTCTTCTCCATCTTCTCAAGTTTATTATTTCTACCTTGGTTCAAGTCTTCCCCAACTCTTGCCTGAATCATTGTAGTAGTCAGCTCATTGGCTTCCCTGATTCCACCCCATAGTCCCTTCTTCTGTCCTCTCTTGTGGCTTCAACAAGCTTCCAGATTGTAATATGACCATCACACACATAGGAACATGCACATTTGTCCACCTCACACATCTTTCAGGGGCTTCCACACCTATTACCTGAAGACCATGCTCTGTAGGTCCTTGAACATCCCTAGGGCTCACTCTTTTTCTGTTTTGAGGAGACATTTTCAATTCCATGGGGATGTCCACCTTCTGATGAATCCCTTGCTGATGCTTGCCCTCCTCCCTTTTCATCCATCTACCAACTGGCTTTTTAAAAATTTCTAATGCTTTGTTCAGGAGATAGTTCTCTGTTTCTGATATGCTCCTCCAAAGACTGAAAATTATAATTCATGCAAACTATAGCTCATGTTACATTATGTTCCAGTCCATCACTGATCTGTGCGGTTTAATCTTCTGAGGTGAGGAGCTAGACTCCTTGGAAGGCCAGGCAGTGGAAGCAGTTCTTAAGCCTAGTTTTTAAAAATAGCTAACCCTGAGATTGGAGCACATAAGAAAAACAGCAGATTTTTTTTCCAGCCAAGAATTAAAGTATGACCCCAAAATATGTGTTCTAACTCACTGAATGATACTCAATAGAAGTCTCTGTAACTATGACCCTCCTTTAGTAATGTGGTATTTGATCAGTGCTACTATAAAATAGCCAATCTCTTCTACAAAGAAGCATTTTTTAAATCAGTCCTTTTTTCATAGTTCAAATATTTAATAACTCAGCATCATAAAAATTTATTTACAGGTCCAGGGTAGCTCAGTGGTGCCACTGCCTGCCTTGCAAGTTCCCAAGTTCCCTGGTACCAAAAAAAAAAAAAAAGAAGAAGAAGAATGGGAAATGGGCCATATGTAGTTTTTAAAATTAATTTTTCAGTTGATACATGAAACACAAAAATTATACATTTTGATCTGGGATTACCATGTGATGTTTTGTTACATGTTATTATGGTTTAGATCTAAAATGCCCCCCCAGATTCTCATGTGTTTGGATGGTGACTGGATTACAGAAGCACTGTACTCATGAGCTGATTCACCCACTAATGAGTTTAGTAGCAGCTGAGTGTGCCGTGAGGGGGTAGGGCCTGGTTGGAGGCAGTTCACGCAGGGCATAACCTGGAAGAGTGTATTCTTGTGCCCAACTTCTCCTTTCTGCCTGCCAGGGATTGAGCACCTTTTCCTCTGCCGTGCCCTTCTGCCATCCTATTTCTGCCTTTGAACCAGCTGACCATGGACACTGAAACCATGAGCCAAAATAAATCTCTCTTCCTTTAAGTTGCAGGTGTCAGACATTTTGTCCTAGTAGCAGGAAAATAAGTAATATGCCTATATATATCCTGGGATCCAGTTAAACATATCTGTCTTCTCAAACATATATCACTTTATGGTAAAGACATTCAAACTTCTTTCCTCTAGATTTTTGATATATGCAATTCACAGTCACTATCTCTAGTCACCCTACTGTAAAATAGCACGCTAGAACTCACTCCCATCTGACTGAAATTTAGTACACCTTGGTCAACCTCATACATACTGGCAAAAAATACTGTAGCGCTACTGATATAAATTTGACAGTATTAATTTCCATACTAAACAATTGCTATCATGGACAAGAGGCTGACGAGTGCATTGTGTTGTAATCATCCGTGCCAAATATCAGACCCACAGGGAGTGAGTGCCAGTTTGCAGTTGAATGAGGGGAAGGAGAAAGACAAGGTTTTCATTCTGTGTATTTTAAATATTTTACCTTTAGCCATGCCCTGGAGTCATACACTGCCTTGCCCTACCACATGCGGAGCCCCTGCCCTTCCAACCCCATCTCTCGACCAGCGTACCAGGGTAGCAACCCAATCAGCGACATTTGGTCAGTCCAAGCACTGCGGATCGTTGCTAAGTATCTGAAGAGGTATGTCATCCAGAGAGGACAGACAGAACAGAAAAACCATATCCTGCCATCACATGGAATGTGACATGCCTGATCCAAAGTCATCCTGAGTAAGTTTGCTCACCAGATCAGCCTATGGATCTGAAGCACCAGGCACCAGCAACCTCTAAAGGAATCCAGGGTTTGGTGGGTGAAAACCGGATCCTGAATCCACACAGGAAAACAGGATCCTGAATCCCCACAGGAAAACCAGATCCTTCATTCCCCTTTAGCCAGGGGACAAATGGATGGCCCTAATTTATGAAGGACACAGATTTTAAATAAATGAAGCTTTGTTCATCAGTCTCGAAACCAAAGCTAAGATGATAGGAGACATCTTGAGATTTGGTTCCCTAAGACAGAAATGAGAACCAACCTCCAAGCCCTTGCAACAGTACAGAGAAGCCACCACTGAGCAAACACACACAAACCAAATTTAAGAAATAAATGTGTGCAGATTAGTGAGCTAGGAGATGTAAGAGGCAAAAAATGTAAATGGATCCCTAAAAAGGTTTTGAAAGATTTAAAGATACAAGTACAATTCAGAAGACTGAGGCAGGAAGATTGCCATGAGTTTGAGGCCAGCCCAGGCTACATAATGAGTTCAAGACCAGCCTGGAATACAAGACCTGGTCACAAAAAATACAAGCTAGACACACTAGTCTCATGAAGATCACTTGACCCCAGGAATTTGAGGCCAGCTTGGGGAATACAATAATGTCATTAATTTTTTTTTTTTAACTTAGGGCTGAGGACATACCTCAAAAATAGAGCACTTGACTAGCTTGTGTGAGGCCATCGGTTCTGGTTGCAAACTGAATTAGACAAGAACCAAATCAAATTCAATGGTTAGGTTCAATGTCGACTTTAAGAGGAAATTTGACTCAGTTCTCACCCAATTCAGTTTGAGATTAGAAGTGTGGAGAGAACTGAGTTCATGAACTGAGGTACTGTTTTCATATTTGTATATATACACATATCCTCCATATACATTAACGCTTGCTATTCTTACAATACCTAATACAATGCAGATGCTATATAAGTAGTTGTTATACTATATTGTTGAGGAAATAATGACAAGAAAAAGTCTGTACATATTCCTTTCCGATGTAATATTTTTCTGACTATTTTCAATCCACCGTTGGTTGAATTTGTGGATGCAGAACCAATTGATATAGAAAGCTAAGTACTGAAGATAAAAACGGACACCAGAGATATTAAAATATATGAAAACCCTGGCTTGTTTTTGTATTTATTTGTAAAAGAGGGAAAGGGCACTACGGGTTAGGCCTAGACGTGGATATAGTGCTTCCTCTGGCCTGGGTCTAGCAGCTGCACTGAAAGGGGCCTTGGAATCACATTTGTAGTGGAGCAGTGGGAAGGGGGAAGGGATCCAGAATTGTTCCCAGCTGATATGGAAAGAAGTTGATCAGAACAGGAGAGTGAACAAAGCCACGGTGAAGGTGAGGGATGAGGTAGACAAAGGAAGGGCTGAAAGCTTCATCATCAGCTTTCACCTTGTTATTTATTCTGGGAATAAAGAACTAACATTGGATTTTGGAAGGGAGACACAAATGCCTAACCATTCCAGATGAAAGGAATAATAAGGCTACAGCACTTTTATGTATATCAGGAATACTTCCTTGAGGCAAAATCACAAAAAGAAGTAGAAGCAGTTCACTTGGCAGTGGTCAGGCTTTCCTCCCGAGGGCAAAATTTCCAAGCAGAATATGCAGAAAGGCTGAGCCAAATCTCAAAGGGACCTTTGAGAATTTGCCTTTCTGAAGTGTCACTGGGACACACAGAGAAAACAAAGGCTGGTCCTACAATAACATCGCACTTCCCCCATAACGGTGTGAGAATAGATGTGCAGTTTACACAGGTATCAAGAGGCCCCTAGTAGGTCTGATTTGGGTCAGTGTCCCATGAAGAAAGATGGCTGGGCAGTCAGGTAGCCCCAGGTGACAGGGGTTCATGGTACAATTCTGAGAACATGTTTATTCTGGGTCCATTCACAACTGCCATCAAGGTCGTTGACAAATGAAGAAGAAGAATGAGTCTTAGGGCACTGCTCTTGAGCAGCTCTCATAGTCCAAAGACCAGGCCTTTGCTTCCTCTGGCATTTTTACAGCACATGAGCAGCTGATAGTGTATTTATTATGCCTTTGGTGAAACCACTGATGATAAAATACATTTCCCTTCCGTTTTCATTTAGAAGACAAGGTATCATTTGAATAACTTGCCTAATGTTCTTCCTCCTGAGTGGCATTTCCCTCCCAGATCTTTCCCTAAGGCAGCTCTTTATTCAGTAGGAAATATCAATGTTGATATGTTATTGTTCTGTATTTATATAATTCACAGGGCTGTCAGAAATCCTGATGATCTGGAAGCAAGGTCTAATATGCACTTGGCAAGTGCTTTTGCTGGCATTGGCTTTGGAAATGCTGGTGTTCATTTGTGGTGAGTGAATACTAGATTTTATTTCTTTATTCAAGCTATTGCTTTTAATATTTTTTAAAAAAATTTATAATTCAGGACAAATGGTAAAATTTTAAATATGTTATAGAAGGAATAAATTTAATATAAGGTACTTAAATATTTCCTTGAGAGCCTTATTGGGTCATAGATTTTTTTATAATAGCCTTTAAGCTATAATTCATGTACTATCCAATTCACACATTTAAAATGTCTAATTAAATGGTTTTTAATATATATAGAGTTCTGTAATCATCAATTTTAGAACATTTTTTACCCTTGACATAAATCCCATACTCCTTATCTGCCACCCACCAATCCTTCCACCTTTCGGAGTACTTGGTAACTATTAATCTACTCTATCCCTGAAGATTCTCCATTCTGAGCATTTTATTTCAATGAAATCATATAATATGTGGTCTACTGTGTCTGACTTGCTTTACTTAGCATGATGTTTCCAAGGTTCATCCATGCAACAGAATTTCATTCCTCTTTTTTACCAAATAACATTTTATTATATGGATATAGCAAATTTTACTTTTTCATTCATCAGTTGATGAACAATTGAATTGTTACAATTTTGGTCAATATAAATAGTATTACTATGACCATTCCTATTTTTTTATGTACAGGTTTTTAAATTTTCTTATTTTATTCGTAGGCATGGAATTTTCAATCGTATGGTAATATGCGTTTAAATTTTTGAAAGTACCAGACTCTTTCCCACAGTGTCTGTGCCATTTTACATTCACATCAGCAGTGGATGTCTGCTTTCTTCATAGCCTTTACCACCTGCTATGGAGTCTTAAAACCTCAAATGCAAGATTCCCTCCCCCTGCAATCTCTCACAAAAAGAGAAAGGATCAGAATCTTTGTCAACAGTCCAGAATTAATGTTTGATAAGAACTTTATTAGCATGTTGCATTAAAATTGAAAGCCAGTTGAACTTTGAGCTACGAATAGGTCTTTCCTGTAGTGAATGTAATGAAATGATAATCCTCAGACTCTGCTACTAATAGGAGCATGCATTGGTACACTTTTCCAAAAGGCAAGTGAATAAAATGTACTCAGAACCTGAAAAATACTTATACCCTTTGGCCCACTAATTCACTTCTAAGAATCTAACCTAAAGAAATATCTACAAACTAGCCATGATGGTATGCCTGTAATTCCAACACACTGGGAGACTAAGGCAAGAGAATCACAAGTTCAAGCTCAGCCTAGGCAACTTAGCAACTTAGCAAGACCTTGTCTCAAAAAAAAGACTGAAGATGTATTATAGCATAGTGTGAAGGGTAGTGCAAGAAAAAAAATTCATGACGTGATCAGTGAATTTCCTTATATGCATATTCACCTGTGCTATTTATAATTGAAAATTTTGGATGCATCCTAAATTTTCAACAGTTGAAGTTTGAATTACAATATTTAAGAATAAAATAGGGCCATTAAAGATGTTTAGAATAAGTTTTTATCAAAAAAGTTTACAAAGAATATTGAGTAATAAAAGCAATGTATGGCTATATACACAATATAATCATAAATATATGCATTAAATGTCTAAAAGGAAATAGGATTATGTGTAATCTTTAACTTCTAAAAAAAACATAACTGCTAAAATAAAAACTATCAATCTAACATTTTGACTATAGTTAGAAAGATACTTCTGAGAGCCACATGAATTCCATCACATTGTGAAAGTGCACCAAGCAATAATTATCTGAGCCCAGGAGAGGTAAAGCACAATCCAACAACTCATGGAACCAATAGCTTTCCATTTGTTTTTTCAAAGATGGGCTGGGGGATCCTTTTTTTTTTTTTAATAAGTATTCATATAATTCACTAAAATACTTCTTTCCATCAAATGTAACTCTTGCTGAATAAGCAGAGTCACCTAAGAACCCATATTACAAGAACCACTGACCATTTTACTCATGAAAAACACTTCATTTTCACTATATTATTTGTAAATAGATTAACTTGTCACAATATCTTCTAAATCATCTATTAAATTATATTATCCTACTTTTTCACTAAGAATTTAAAGGGATATAAAGATGTTTTCAATAAAAACAAAAATCGCTGGGTGTGGTGGCTCACACCTGTAATCCCAGCACTTGGGAGCCTGAGGCAGGAGGATCGCCAGGAGTTCAAGGCCAGCCTGAACTACGTAGTGAGAACTTGTCTCACTTTAAAAACTTGTCAGTTAATTAACTAATTAAAAAATAAAAACAAAAACTATGATGCCTTTCTCTGATGACAACTAAATCTAAATAAAGTCTTAAGATAGAATTCAGGCAAAATAAATCAGTTAAACTAGAATGGATTAATATAGACTTTCAGGGTAGAATAATTTATTATGCTTCAAATACCATTAATATATAACATTTGAAAAGATATATCAGTTATTGGTGGGATGGATCACTGACAAGTCCAGATTACATGTCACCAAAAGGCATATAGTTCTGTGGTCATTTGAATTTGAACATTTCAAAGGTCTTGGAGTACATCATAGTACATCCTTATATCCAGGAAAACAGAACCTATAATTCTTTGAGATAATTGTACTGTCTAGAGACTGTGAAGGTCTCTCCCATAATGGTATCTTTGTGTTATTGATTTGAATGCTGATGTCTGTATGTCAACAAAAAAATTTTTATTTTCTCTTCTAGCCATGGGATGTCATACCCAATTTCAGGTTTAGTGAAAACATATAAAGCAAAGGACTACAATGTGGATCACCCACTAGTGGTAAAAATTAATTAATAGTATATTAATTAAATTTTATATACCTCATAATTTCCATTAAGTACAAGTGTCAGTTTTTTCCCCAGTGCTGGGGACCAAATCCAGAACTTTTTACATATCAGGCAAATGCTGTACCACTGAGTTACAGCCACAGCCCATAGTTGTTAATTTTTGCTCTGAGCATAGTATAATCCCAGCCCTGGGGAGGCTGAGGCAGGAGGTTTGCTGTGAGTTCAAGGTTAGCCTGGACGACATAGCAAGTTCAAGTCCAGCCTGAACTACATAGCAAGCCCGTGTCTCAAAAAAAGAATTTTTTTTTTTTTTACTACTTAACTACAGGGTAATGTAATACCTGAGTAAACAGGAGGAAGAACAGCTTTGCTATCTGTCTCTCCCTAGCCCCATGGTCTTTCTGTGGTGCTCACATCCCCAGCGGTGTTCACGTTCACAGCAAAGATGTTTCCAGAACGGCACCTGGAGACGGCAGAAATATTGGGTATGAAACATTACTCATAAATCTGTGACAAACACAGGTGGAGGAGTGTCCTAAGGTTGTTTCTGAAGGTGACCTAAGGGATAATAAAAAAAGTTGCTTTGGAATAGCTAAATAATAGCATTTCATTGAATTCTCCAAAGCCCTAGCTAACTCCAAATTACTGTAATTTTATGTTTCTCTTTTCTTTTATTTCTTCCTTTTTTTTTTTTTTCTTTTTTTTTTTTCTTTTTTTTTTTTCTTTTTTTTTTTTCTTTTGGTACCAGGGTTCAAACTCAGCAGGCGTGGTACCACTGAGTTAAATTCCCTGCCCTGTAATTTTATGTTTTTGAGAATCAGTTAATGAAACCGAACCAAATATTGATTCTATTAAATTTTTGTTAATATTATTTCTTCTGCTTGTAGTTCCAAAGAAATTATAACTCCATGTATACTATTAATGTTGTAATTGGCCTTTGCTACATTGAATCAATAATTATTCGGGAAGAAAAAGTAAAATGAGCAATCTGTCTTCCATACTGTAAAATAAATAATGCCTATAGTTAGTTACTCTTACCAGAAATAAAATGACATTGCAGGTAGCTGTAGTGGGAAGTAAAATGGTGGTGTTTTTCTGAAATGAGAACTTCTCTGAGTAGACTTGGATATTTAATTTGCAAAACATCTTATCCCCCTAGCTGTGTCAGGGTAGGAAAGGAAAGGCTCAAAAGAAAACTTCATTATGCTCTTCTAGCTCCAGCCTTTGAAGGGACTAGTTCCAAGGAGGCAGGGCCGACCACAGGCCTTCTGTGAGCGCTGCTTCTGTGCACTGCGCGCCCAGTTCCAGGCGCTGTGCCCGGAACACTAATGTGGGGAGCCCAGCACCGATAGACCACACCCCGCTCGATTTCTCAGCCTTTGCTGCAACTTTACCAAGGATCTTGTGTCCCTTTTCCCTTTTGGAGGGAAGATGTCCTTCAGCCATATTTTGGGATGCAATTGCCTTTGTAAATATGCAAACTATGTAAATGGTACATGGGGGGAAAATCTTATATAATTTACATAAAGTTTACATTCCAGGCACCCCTCAACATTACTAAGAAAGCAGTTCTTCTGTTAGACAAAATCCAAGCTGGAAGAAGCAACCAGTTCTTGTGTAGGGAATTTTAATATTATCTCCTATCTTGTCATTAAATACAGTATTTTAATTCTATGTAGAAGCTTAGATTTTCTTCTTAGCTTTAGGCCAATGAATTCTCTTTCCTATCATTCTCCCCCTTAAAAATACTTCGTAGGAAACCCTAGAACTTCTGATGGTGTGTTTTACGGCAGCCATCCCAGGAACACAAAACCATCATAAACCCTGTGTCATGTGTCGCCTTTCCATCTAATGCATGTTTTTGCTGCCACTGAGCAGCACAGACTTGTCTTGTCAGGCAAGGCTTACCTTTCATCCAGCTGCTCTCTAACTGGCCCTGTATCTGGTTCTGTTTATACTGTTTTTCCTGGATTACTGAAACAGTTCTCACTGTCAAAAAGAAAGCTAGTTTAAAACCAATTTAAACAAGTGCTGCTCTATGGAGGGGAACTGTGTGGTCCTGGTCTCATTCAGAGGCATTTTGAGTCGACCTCATGCAACGCATTCCATTTGCAGTGTGCTTTACTTCTTGGCATTAAGGTGTCTGACTCATATAAACAGGGAATGGGGTGGGTGCTAGGAGTTGGGAAATAAGTTCCTTTCTTCTGAGAATTTTCTGCCTGTAGACAGAACCCAACATCTCTTCCAGATTTATGTCTTTATGATTATATGTATTAATTACTACATCAAAATTCTGTCTTAAAATCTCCAAATCTTGGCAACCTTGTCTCTTCTCCTGTATCATTATTAGATAATGATACACATTGAAACACTGTTTGCTGAAAGCCTTCCTGCTCTTAGCACTGTAATATTTATTTTTTTCCATGAAGTTTATTGGTACATTTTAGGCATACAAACAATATAGTTACATTCATCACTGGGATCTTGGACCTTTCCATGATGCATCTTGTTTCTTATTTATCCCCCATTCCCCTGCCCTCCCTTTACTCCCTCCACCCCTTCCTATTTACAAAGACTTTGTTTCCATTTTTTTCCCTTTTCTTATATTTTCCCCCTTTCCTTTACCCTGCCCCTCCCACTTCCCCTACTCCTTTAGACCTTTTCTTCCTATTTCACATTATCGATTATACATTTTGACCCTTATTTACATTTTTAGTTTTTTATACCAGAGAAACTATTCCGTATTTACACGTGTCCTATTTACTTCACTTAAGAGTATGGCCTCAAAGTGCATCCATTTAGCTATAAATGTCTCTAGTTTCTCATTCTTTATGGCTGAGTAGCACTCCATTTTATAAACACACACACACACACACACACACACACACACACACACACACACACACACCTTCTTCCAATCTCCACTTGATGGGCAATTGAGCTGTTTCTAAGTTTTAGCTATTACAGACTGGCACTGTAATATTGATTGAGAGGAACCTTCCCTGCCAGGTGGCAATAGAGTTCAAAATAAAAATATATAGCTACAGTGAGGAAATATTTTCTTCTCTGGTCACACACACACACACACACCTGCTTCCAATCTCCACTTGATGGGCAATTGAGCTGTTTCTAAGTTTTAGCTATTACAGACTGGCACTGTAATATTGATTGAGAGGAACCTTCCCTGCCAGGTGGCAATAGAGTTCAAAATAAAAATATATAGCTACAGTGAGGAAATATTTTCTTCTCTGGTCACACACAGCTCATTTTTTTTTTTTTGTCATACCTATTTTTCTTTCTTTTGGGTGATTGAAGTGGGAGTTTTTATACTTCTTTAACTTTGTTTCACAAGGTGTTTGCAAAGGGCTTCTCTTTTTCTAAGATGTTACTATGAGAAAAGATGTTGAACATGCACACCTCTAGATGTCAGCAAATTCCAAGGCTTGAAAAATAACATAGCTGGGTTTCTCTTACAGAAGCTCCTTCCTCCTCATCCCAACACCAGACTTCTTTCCTGGTCTCCTGTCTGAGCTTCTTTTCCTGCCGCCTCCTCCTCCTCCTCCTCCTCCTCCTCCTCCAGACCATATAGGAAGCAGCAGTTGCTTGCAAACATGGAAAAGTTAGTTGCCCCAGCCTACTTCTCTTGTCCAGGAGAGGCACAGTGGCCACAGTGGTGTACTCGATGTTTGGAAATAGCAGTGAGTACACATTCTGTATTCCACTGATCTTGTAACTGAAGAACACCCAGAGCCTGTGTGCTCCCCCTGTGTGCTTTATGTCTTCTAGGAGCTGACACACGCACCACCAAGATCCAAGATGCTGGACCTGTGTTGGCAGACACACTCCGGAAATTCTTATTTGATCTAAATGTTGACGATGGCCTGGCTGCCATTGGCTACTCCAAGGCAGATATCCCTGCATTGGTGAAAGGAACCCTACCTCAGGTAAGAGGTGCAGAGCAGCCCTCACTCCTGCTAAGAAGCACAGAATTTCCATCTGCGGTGCAAAAGAGGGAATGAAAATCCAGGGGTCCACTCCTGGGTCTCAGGTCTCCACACCATGCAGCAGTTCTCTTCCTGGGAGGAAAGGGCCCAGGCTCCTTCACTTTTATGTTTTTCCATAAAAATGTGGTTGAAGTGAAGCTTTTATGGCAGAACTGAAAGGATTCTTTATGAAAATTAAAGGCAAAAAGAACTAAACTGATCTTGAACAATGTCAAATTTCCAGCTATTCCAAAAGGACCATTAATATTATTTTCCATTATGAAGAATTACAAATTACTACTATTTTGTGAAGAACAGGCATACTTTTCAAGTTAAAACTATTAAAAATGCTTTTGAATTAATTTGAGACATTGTATATTTTATATATGTGTCCCTCTGGTCTTACTTCATTTATTTAATGTTGCTAAAGAATGTAAGTTGAATGTACTGCTATTCTTAATTTGATAGAATCACAACAGATATAAAGTCCCTCTCCAATGAAAAAAGCCTCTTTGGATCTCTCTTGAGCTGAAGCATCAGATCCTGAAGGGCCAGGATCCTGTTTATTGCAAGTCACCATAAAGTAAGAGCTCAGGGCCATGAACACTGGTTGGTGTACCACACCGTACTCACCACAGCCAGAATGCTCCTTTAGTCCTGGTAAATATGGGAAAGACAATGACCACTTCAACCCTCTTCCCAAAGAAGAGTGAGCCTCCTCTTCCCGAAGTTAAGGTATCCTTGGATCACTCCTTGACATTGGAACTGAGCTATCGCTATAATATCTACTCGAACAGCCTCCTGCTGACCACAAATAGAAGTGCTTTTTCCTCACCCTACTCCCGGTAACCGAGGGCCTTTAACTAGCTTCCTCTTCATTTCATCAGTGTTGAGAATGTTGACAGCCTCACCCCACCACATAAGATAATATTTGTGTAGATTGGCTTCACAGACTCGTAGGATCCAAGTAGGCAGTAGCAGTGAGCAAAGTAATACAAGACAATAGGAGGGACGGGAAGGAAAGAGAAAGTAAAAAGTATTAATTACTTACCAATTTAATCATTTAAATACAGGATGATTTAAGGGACAGGGATGTAGCTCAGCAGTGTCGTAACTGCCTGGAAAATACAAGGTCCTGAGTTTGACTCCTAGTACCGGAAAAAAAAATACAGGATGACCAAAAATTGCATATTTTTGTTAATTTTTATAAGACAATATAACAGAATATATAAAATTACGATTTTATCGAATTTATTCAATACAAGAATTGACTGGTTGAAATGACACCTTCCCCAAGTGACACTTGCAAGAGTCTGAGTGTAAACAAACACACTGCCTGTGTGACACTTGGGGTAAACTGTTAAGTGGTCAAGATGTGTTAAGTATCTATGCCAACTCCCAGTGATGAATGTAATCATTGTGTAATGCAAACATGTAATAATAAAAATGTTGAAATATATAAGGTAACACGGAGTGGCAGGGAGTTTGGTGAACTAGAAAGCATGTGACCCATCTAATTGGGTGAGCATCTGTTCATCTAAAGTTACTATCACCCAGCAGAAGTTCAGTTTCTCTTATAGTCAGAACAACTTTCTTTCGGGAAAAATTAGCAACTTGGATGTTTCTATTAAATTCACCCTGGTTTTCCAATGTACAAATAAAACATGCTCATGAGCCACCTGTTTCCTTGATTTAGATTTAGGCCCAATGAATCCAGTTGCATCTAAAGATATAAATGAATAAGAAACAGCAGAGTCTCAAAGTACAGCATAGCCCCTGTATCTACCACAAACCTTTATTCTAACCTGTAAGTCAAAGAGACTAAATAGAAAAGGATAAAAAAATCCTTCTAAGACTATCATTTATTTTATTTAGACCTACTAGAGTATAAGTTCCGTGAGGGCAATGCTTTGCTTTGTTCATCCACCCTCTCTTGCACTTAGTTCAGGCTAGTAAGTGTGTTAAATCAACACAAACTTGCAGCCCTCTCCTAAACCCTCTGTCCATATGAGCCTAACGATTGGTTGGTGAAACTTTTTGAGACGTTTCCTTGGACTAACTAGAACTCAGCCAAAGATGAAGGAGCCATAAATCCTGTCCAAGGACATCGTGGAGTTTGTGATCACCACAATTTTAATTTGGCTTCTGGCCCTTATAGCATGGTTTCAGCGATACTCTCCATTCTGCAAGGAGCTCTCTGAAAACTCTGCTTATAAGTCTGAGGGAAAATGTGGAGGTGTATATGTTTGTCACCTTCCACGAATAGGGTCCGTGATTTTCAGATGAAATTGTCTGATGCTCTTGGTCATTTAATTGCTGGTGACATGGCCATGCATGACCCAGCCATCAGCACACACTGGCAAATGTTTACTATCCTAAGACGTGATATTTTTTTGACCTGTTAAAATATCTTCTTTTAAAATTAATTTTATTGGTACATTTAATATATATAATATAGTGACACTCATTGTTGGAAAGTTGTACATAATCAACCTTGGTTCTTATTTTTTCCCCATTTCCCTGCCCTCCCCTCAACCCCTCCCTCCCTCCCTATCTACAAAGACTTTGTTTTCGCTATCTTTCATTTTCTTATATTGATTCCATTCCCTACTTTCCTTTCCCCTACCCCTCCAATTTCCCCTTCCTCCTTGTCCCTTTTCTTCCTATTTCATATTATCTATTATACCTTTTAATCCTTATTTTCACTTTCTCACACTAGAGAAATTACTATCTAGAATATATAAAGAACTTTAAAAAATCAGAACTCCCAAATTTAGAGACCCAATCCAAAAATAGGCATCTGAAATGAACAGACATTTCTCAGACAAAGAAATAGAAATGAAAATAAACATATGAGAAAATGCTCAACATCACTGGTCATTCTAGAGATGCAAATGAAAACAATGCTGAGATTTCCCCTCACCCCAGAAGGAATGGCTACTGTCATGAAATCAACCAATAACAAATGCTGGTGAGGCTATGGGGAAAGAGGAACCTTGCTTTTCTGCTGGTGGGAGTGTAGACTGGTGTAACCCCTTTAGGAAGCAGTATGGAGATGCCTCCAAGAACTAGGATTGGAAGTCCCATTTGACCCAGCTATTACCCTACTGGGTGTCTTCCCAAAGAATTCAAAGAATAGTACCACAGTGATATATCTGCACTCATGTTCCAAGCAGCACAATTCATGATAGCTAAAACTTGGAAGCAGCCCAAATGCCCATCAATTGAAAACTGGATAAGGAAAATATGTTTTTTAAAAAATAAAATGGAATACTACTCAGCCATAAAAAATGACAAATTAGAGACATTTATAGCTAAATGAATACACAATGAGGCAGTACTCTTAAGTATTATGAATAGCTCACACATGTGTAAGTAAATACCTTCACTTTCAATTCTTTCCTAGACAGTGAGAGATCCCAACTAATATTTGAGACCATCCACTAAAATAGCAAGTTAATTAGCTATCATTCTGAATGCCTCCATGTACATGTCATAGTGGGAAATCATAGAAGCAAAACCTTAATTAGACAAAATAAATTTCTTAGTCTCACAAAAGAACATTTCACAGGAAATTCATGGCAATTTCAAAATTGTACACACACAGTTGACTAATCTTCACTTATTAATATTACAGAACTCAAAGTAGTAAGAAGAGTATATTGGTTCCTGCAGAGAACATTGCTAGAAAGGTTATTTTATACAGTTGATGTTTGAGAAAGGTCCTTTTATGTGCAGCAACCAAGGATTGGATTTCTCTGAAAGGAACAACCAGGCCAGTATTCTTGACCAAACACCACAGCCTGTATTCATGGCAACAAATAGCACTCCTGTGTCAGAGGCTTCCAACTGCCATGGCCGGGCTGCAAGGGGAATGGGCAAGAATAAATTAATCTTCCAAACTGGATTTCTGAAACCTCTGGAAATCAAAACATTCCAAATCAAAACATTTCATTACTGAGGAGAGCTGTCTACCCAAATGAGCGCTCCCACTCCCTGGTAGACAGGCCAGCTGAAATGTTGTTATTTTATGAATGTGCTAAAAGTAGAAGTCTAAATTTATTTCTGTGCCCATATTAATCAGTTTTCTTTGCTTTTGCATGTCTATAATAACACATTACTCAACACATCTTTATCCTGAGAGTTTCACTTTTCTATGACAGCTGATACATCTAGCGAAATCTCACGAATTTAACATCTTTAATCAGGCATTGAGGGTTAGAAATGTGAGAGAAATTCAGCTTAGGTTTGGCCTCAGGTACTTCTGAGAGTCTTGAACTGCTTCACCAAAGATAAATGGAATCAGTGGTGATGGCTGTATGACATTGTGAATGTACTTAATAGCCAGTCAAGATGAGACTCTTTCTCATTAGAACAGAATAATAAAAAGATCATTATCGTTATTTGTGGCCATAGCAAACACTGAACTTCAGCACTTGACCCTTCCACAGATGTGTTCATGTCTCTGTGTGTGTAATCATGAGCAAATCTCTTTGCCTTGCTATGAATTTTCACAATTCTGTAGGGATTGTGTAAAGAATCTGCTGGGAAGTAAACTTTTATCTTTGTCTCACCATATTCATTAGTATAGTCTCCTGCCTTCTCCTAAATGTGCATCTATCCATCCTTATTATTTTACTTACTTATTTACTTATTTAGATATAGAGTCTTGCTGTGTTGCCCCACCTGGTCTTGAACATCTGGGCTCAAGCCATCCTCCTGCCTCAGCCTCCTGAGTAACTGGGACTACACGCATGTGTCACTATATCTAATGGAGTTAATTTTTTAATTGTAGTAAAATAGTACAACATAAAATTTACCATTTTAACTATTTTATGTGCACAATCCAATGTTATTAAGAATATTCACAATATTTTAAAGCCATTACCACTACTATTTTCCAGAACTTTCTAAAATCATCCCAAACAGCTCCATATTAAACAATAACTCCCCATCTGCCCTTCTCTAGCCCCTGGTAGTCTCTAGTAACCTCTGTTCTACTTTCTGTCTCTGAATTTGCCTATCTTAGGTACCTCATGTAAGTGGAGTCATAATATCTGTCCTTTTGTAGCTGGCTTATTTTACTTACCATAATGTCTTTAGCATTCTTCTGTATTGTAGCATGTGTCAGAATCACATTCCTGTTTGTGGCTGAATAATATTTCATTATATGGGCACACCACGGTTTATCCATTCGTATGCTAATGGCCACTTGGGTTGTTTCTAGCTTTTGACTATTAAGAATAATTGTGCTATGAACATTGGCATACAAGCATTATTTTTAATTCCCTGCTTTTAATTATTTGGGGTATATTCTGAGGAGTAGACATGTTAGATCATATAGCAATTCTATGTTTAATATTTTGAGGAACTGGCAAGCTTTTTTCCTTAGTGGTTGCACCATTTTACAATTCCATAATACACAAGGTTCCAATCCCCACATCTTCAGCAACACCTGTTATTTCCATTTTTGAAATAGTAGCTGTCCTAATAGGATATAAAGTGCCCTCTTGTTGAGGCTTTGATTTGCATTCCCCTAATGAATAACGAAGTCAACCATCTTGTGTTATGCTTATTGGCTATTTATATATTTTCTTTGGAGAAATATCTATTCAAGTCCTTCGCTCAGAGTTGTTTGGAGTTTGTTGTTGTTGTTGAATTGTAGAAATAATTGTTATATTGTGGACATTAATCCCCTACCAGATATATGATTTGCAAGTATTATATCCCATTTTATGAGTTGTTTTCATTCTCTTGCTAGTGTCTTTTGATGCACAAGAGTGTTTGATTTTGATCTAGTCCAAGTTATCCCTTCATTTGTTATGTTTGCTTTTGGTGTCATTATTATCGGGAAATCACTGTCGGTCTAATGACATGATGATTTTCCCCTCTGTGTTCATCTAAGAGTTTTAGGACTTCATGTTCTTACAGTTAGGTTTTCATCTATTTTGAATTAGTTTTTTTTATGTGTCCTTCCTTCTTTTCATTCTTCCTTTTACCTGACAAATTCTTGTTTTATATTTTTATTTATTTACTTTATTACTTTGTTGTTTTTGTTTTTTGAGACAGGGTCTTGTTATGCAGCTCAGGCTGGCCTTAAACTCACTATATAGCCTACCTAGGATGGCCTCAACTCACGGTGATCCTCCTGCCTCAGCCTATATAGTGTTGGGATTATAGGAGTGCCCCACAAAGCCCAGCTTACCTTACTGATTCTGACTGAGATCTACCATTTACCACTGTATGAAATGTAGTGAGGAGAAAAAAATCCCTTTCTTCCCGGTTGGAACTTTTCTAGTGAGGGGAGGCAGGCAATGAACATCTATTTAAAAGCAAAACAAAACACAAATGAAATCGTTTCGGATAATTATTAATGGTGTAAAGAAAAGCCTGAGTAATGGGATAGAGAATAATCTTGGGACAACCGTGGAAAGAGCTCCAGCAGATGTCTATTGTGAGAGTTCCTCTGCCTGGACAGGGTAGCTGTGGGAAGACCGGGCAAAGCTTTCTAGGGCGCACTAAGAGGAAAGGCATAAAATTTAAAAGGGAGAGTGGGACTGAGTGAGATGAACAAGCGGGAGGGAAGAGAGTTGGGCGGAAAACGGGGCCAGATCAGGGCAGCGTCAGATGTCTTGATTTTGTTCTAATTGCAGCGAAAAAGTCACGCAAAATCATTAAGCACAAGCCTGGAAAGAGCAGATTTATGCGGGGGAATAGGGGTTCCTGCCGCCGCTTTGGAGAAAACGACCTCTAGAGGGCGATAGTGGCGCAAAGGTGGAAACAGCCAAAGGGTTGGCGGGGGTTTGAAGGAGCCGGTGGTGGGCGATGGAACAACCAGACCTAAGAAGAGTTCGGATTAGAAATACATTTTGGAGGAGGATCTGGCAAGCTTGCTGCTGGGTTGGATTTGCAGAAAAAACGGAAAGGGGAACTCGAGAATGGCTCCTAGATTTTTGTCTGAGCTACTGAGTGTCATTTCTGACATGAAAATGAGAGGAGCAGGTAGATGCCGTGTTCCATTTGTATGTGCGACCTTGAGATACCAATATCTCCATGACCAGCCTCTTCATTAACTCAGCGACTAAGAGCCAAGCATGTATTTACGGTGTATGAAGCACCCTAATACACAGGGGCTCAGAGCAGTCCAAGCCTCTGCCCTCCCGAGTCTTCCTGTTCACCAGGTGCACTGCAAACATTCCTACACCAGACAGCAGACCCGGAGACCTAAGAAAACGGAGTCCCAAACTGCCATGCTTCTTAACTAGGCTACAGGGTAGTCAGCATATCTTTTCGTTTCCTGCCCCAGAAGACAAGAAAGTCGTAGGATGTGCAGGCTGTCTTCACTGATTTGACTCTTAATAATTATTGAAGAAATTAAGCCAACCACTGAACTAGTTTAGTTTCTATTAGTAAGTAGAAATAAAGCCTTGGTTAATGGGAGAGAGGCAGTTGTTTCACGTAGCCCGAAAGCTCATGTCTACAGAAGTCTTTTTGAATATACCTTATGTTGCAAAAAAAATGCTCTTAGATGTCAAGGACAATCAGTTGTGTTTTCCCAGGCAGTATGACTGTACCTAGAATAGGCTCTCTGCCCTTGGAGAACTGACTGGAGTTGTTGAAAGTATTTTCCTAGCAGCTGATTTGGTTCTGTGTACTGGCCAGAAAGCTATTGTCAATGCAGAGATCCAAGGGCTATGACTTTTGAAAGCTTAATGGGAAATAGATAAATCTTTGAGTTGGGAATTAGGTAGCACAAAGCATACAAACAAAATCTGATTTTTAAAGATATGATCACTATCAAGTCATTATTTCTTATGACCAAGTTAATTTACATAACCCACTATCTTTTATGAATAGTTTTTTTGCAAGCCCTGGGTAACCATACTTTTTTATCCTTTCAGGAGCGAGTCACCAAGCTAGCTCCCCGCCCCCAGTCAGAAGAGGATCTGTCTGCACTGTTTGAAGCTTCAATGAAACTGTATTAATTGCCATTTAACTGAAGGAATTAATAGCCATTGTAATTCTGAGAAAAAAACTTGATCTGGCTAAAGCTCTGTCTTTTCAAACCTTCACACACAACTTTCCTGTTACTAGTTTGAGCGAGGCATAAATTTATCCTGTAGGAGCTTCCCTGGTGTTCGAAGTCAAGCTATTTCCATACAACAGGCTAGACAAGTGCCCACTATGTCAGACCCATAGGCCGGAGGGCAGGGATCAGTGTTTCTCCACCAAACCCCATGGAGTACTCTGCCTCTGCTCCATTATCAAATGGGCAAAAATCTAGTATCCATCAAATATGTAAATGTTCATGTTCTATACCAGTAACTGCATGTCTAGAAATTTATCTTATAGAAATACTAGCATAAATATGTAAAGAAACATGACAAGAAGTTTCTGAAAGTACTTTTTCAAATAATAAAAATTGAAACAAAGGGAGGGCAGGGGTAAGGGGAAAAAATGAGAATCAAGACTTGTCATGTAGAGGTACAAGATCCCAACAATGAATGTAACTGTACTGTATCCCTAAAATGTACCAATAAACTCAATTAAAGCTGAAAAAAAGTTGAAACAACCGAAATATTCAATAATAGTATTTGGATGAATAAATCAGTACATTAAACAGGGGATTACTATGGTGTTATTAATAAGGATGAAGTAAAAAAAAATAAGGATGAAGTAACTCTGTTGGAAATATGTCAATCATATAATAAATGTTGACCAAAAAAGTTGTAGAAAAATGGTATGTTAATATGGTGTAATTTTTACTTCTTTTTTTTGGTTTTTTGAGACAGGGTCTCACTTTGTAGTTCAGGCTGGCCCTGAACTCACTGTGTAACCCAAGCTGGCCTCAAACTTTCGGCAATACTCCTGCCTCAGCCTCCCAGGTGCTAGGATTACAAGCATGCACCACCATGTCCAGCTTTTACTTTTCCTATTATATATAAATATGTCTACATATAGAAAAGAAAGATGCCTCAGCAAAATATTAAGTTATCATTGGAGAGATAATTTGGAGTTTGGAAAATTAAGAGAAAATGTTTACTTTGTATTTTATACTTTTATTTTATATTTTATAGATATCTATATCATTTGGATTGGTTAAAACAGGCTATTTGCTAATTTTTAAAAAGACAGAGGGGTTGGGCAGATAGGTTGGTGTGAAGCATTTTCCTGGTATACACAAAGCCCTGACTTCAATCTCAGCACCACAAAAAGTAAAATAATAAAAGGAGAAGGAAAAGATCATCTAATATTTCATGTTAGATTCATCTAATTTTATAAAAATACTTGTAACTAATATTCAGAAGGCAAAATCAAATCTGAATGTGTAGAATATTGAAGACCAATCCCATACTGAATAAATTATTCTCTTGAGAAGAACATTAACATCCTACATGATAAATCTCTCTCCTTGGGAAAATGTATCTAGTGCACAGAATAGGATGATTCAAAACCAAGCAACTCTGCTGCAGTTTACAGATTTCTGCTTGCAAGCAGGATCCAGGTATCTTGATAATCTTCTTCCGTGATATTCCCAGACTATAGAAATCTCATGGCTCATTTTTTCTCAGAAAGATTACCACACTGAAGTTTGCCTGCTTGAGCTTTGGCAGTGTAGAGCTGGGTGTCCCTGAAGATTTTCTCATGTATTAATTTAATTTAAAATGTAATCTTATACATGGGTAATGTATGTATAATGATATCTAGATTTTTAAAAAAGATGGGGCAAGTGATAATGTATCATTTGACTTGCCCAGGCCCTCTCTGTTTTGTTTTGTTTTCATTCTGTTGAGATTTTTTTTCCCCCCCCGTACTGGGGATTGAACTCAGGTCCTTGCGCTTGCAAGGCAGACCACCGAACCGCTGAGCTAAATCCCCAGCCCCTGTTGAGATTTCAAACTAATGTTTATTGGAGGTCTTCTCAAATCACGATATGAAATATGCTAATACAGTACAATGATAAAGACAAAATATTTATTTTGCACTATGGGAATGATAACTACTGCGAAATATTGTGTATATTTTCTTTCAGTAATTCTGTATGCATAAGTATATAATATGTAGATAGCTGCATGTGGGTACATTTTTTTATTAGAAGCAGCATTGTTAAGGTAAATTCCTGTAGGAAAAAAACAGAAAAACTTGGGTCAAGGATGTAGCTCAGTCATAGAATTCATGCTTGTATGAGGCCCTAGTTTCAATTCCCAGTACCATAAAAAACAATACTAATTACTACAAAGCATTGAAATTGTGTATACCAGCATTGAAATGGAAATTGCCCAAAAGGCAAGCCTAAGACCATATGAACAGAATTTCAACTACACCTCGCAGATTACATCCAGCTAAAATTCCTTCCAGCTTTTCGGGAGAATTATGGAGTGTGAAAGTAGAAGCCAAGCATAAACAAGGAAGAAAAATAAAACTCTGCCAATCTAAGATCCTGGAGGTTTCAGTAAAAGTTTTTAATGACCATTTCAAAAGACATTGGAGTAGCAAAAACTTCATATGTATATCCATATGTTCACACACACACACACACACACACACACACACACATGCTCAAGTCTCATATAACCAATAGACATCCTCCCTCCCATATAAATTAAACCACGTCTAGATTTCTTACAGTGCCTAACACAATGTAAATGCTATGTAAGTATTTGTTATACTGTATTTTTCTGGAATTGACAAGAAAGAAAATTCTATATATGTTTAGTACAGGTGCAATCGTTGTAGGCCTAAATACTAGTCTGCAAGCAAGACTCAAAGCAAGAAGTGCTCAAACGACTAGTGTTGGAGAGAGATGAGGATCTATGAAGTAGTAGGAGGCTACAGCCAAGAGCGCATAACCCCACTTCATCCACACAATCTGGAATAGTGCGCAGTGCACAGCATATTCCAGTTTTACTACTTGGAACTTTCTAAAAACCTCTGTCTCTGATATCTTCAATCTGTAGTTGGCTGAATCATAGATGTGGAGCTCATATACACGGAGAGCCGGCTCTATATTCTGCAATCTAATATGACATCTTAGGAGCACATTAGACTGGGGACCAAGGGCCCTGGGTTTTGCTCCAGTCTAACCTGAGTTTACTTAACAAAGGCCACTTTCAGTTTAAAAAGGCCATGATTAGATCCGATGTATTTACCCTCCCCTTAATGTGAGATTTTGAATCAGGGGAAATTAATTTAAAATACTTTGAGAGATAAAAATGAAATCTCTGTCTCTCTGTTTGATGACTTGCTTAACAGTAGCCAGACGTCTAAATGTGACTCACCAGAACTGTTTGGTGTTCCTATTGATGATGACTCTCTAAAGGAAGAATTTAAATGTCAAGCATGAAGAAACAGATTTAGGAAGCCATAATGTTTTTTATCTTGATACCATCATTTTGGTCCTTACATTTTGAAAATATGCTGAAGATATGTTTCCTGACTTACCAGCTATTTTTAAAGTGTGAGATAGGAGATTAGACCATTTCTGTAAACCGAACACTTTCATGCTGCAGACAATAATTAAGTACATTTTTCTACTTTTATATCCTAGTTTTCTATTGGTTTCCTTTTTAAAAAAATTCTTAAGAGTCACAGCACCACTCATGGACTCAAGAAAAATTCAAAGAAAGACATTCAAAAATCTGTATAGGACTACTTTCATAAAACTATCACCTTTAGCAGCATTTTAATTTAAAACACATAGACATCATAATTTATTTCAGGATATAAAATATTAATTTGTTCCAAGTAGGCCAAGTTTTTATGATTTATTGTCAAGTGCCGCACTCAATAGCTGACTTGTTTTTGTGCTCCTGTGCCTTCTCCACGTGCAAGAAAGGCTGTGTTTGGGCTTGGCATTGTTTGTGTGGCTGTAGACACAGCTGTGGGATGTTTTCAAGTGGTCAATGAAGTGACTCTGTAAAATACAGACAAGTACAGTGTCAAAATAGAGAGCAAACACAAAAATTGCTTTTCTGGCCTTTTAACCCTGAGAAAGATTAATTGCTGTTTGTATTAGAAACTGTACCCTAATGAGGCCTTGTTGCATCTGGGGAGTAGGTGAGAGAAAAGACTATTCACCTCTGGGTCAACATTGCACAGGCTTCAAGTCTCTGATGTCCAGCAAACTCAAGCTAGACAGCTGCCAGGGCTCTGCCATTAAGTGCCCAGTCCTCTGGGAGCTGTTAGAGGACCAGGCCATCACCATCACAATAGCCTGGGGGAGGCAGTCTCCAGAGCCAAGCCACAATGAATGGACAGAAATTGTTTCCTTGAAGCCCTATGTTGAATTACTGGCAGCTGGGGATGGGAGGTTCTAATTTCTCCTGCTATTATACCACTGGTTTTCCAACCACTCCAATCATTCTTTAAAAAAAAAAATGCAATCTTCCTACAAACTACAATAATTGAGATTTCATCCTGTGTAAAATCCCTCATGAAACTATGTGCATGCAGGACAGCTAACTTCAAAGTAACCCCATTTTATTCTTTCTGTCTATGAATATTGACTTTTTAATTTGGGTGCTTTTAATTGGTTTTTGGAAACTGATTAAAATATCAGGAGAAAAAAAAAAGGAAGAAGAAAGAAAGAAGAAAAAACCTACTAATCATCCCATTACCCAAACACAGTTGTTAACATTTTATATATATTTTCTTTTCACTTTTTTTCCTACTTAGATGACATGTAATCTTCAGCTCTTTTCTGTTTTTTCTTTTGACAGATTTTGACACAGGTTTTTTTCCTAGTTTGTTTTTTATTTTTATTTTTTTAATAGCACAACATTTATTGGATCACCTCTTTTCTTGTAAAGCATGACATTTTAAACCTTTTCATGTTGCTAAATAATCTTCATAATCATTTTATTTTTAAAGTACACAATAATTTATAGAATAGTGTTTTAATAATTTATCCTAATTATAGGCAACTGATTACCTCCAAATTTTTACTCCTATCAATAACATAATAAATAAATGAATGATGTATTTGTGGCTTTTCCTTATTATAATTTCTATAGCTCCTGATTCGCATTTTCAATTTACGGCATTTCACCATTGTTTCGAGTGTTGATTCCCCTCTCCTTCAATCTTATCTTTCTTCAAATAAGAACCAGTATAAAGTATAAGAAATGGAACAAAGTTCATTTACATGATGGACAGGCCTAGCCTACGTGTGCAAATCCACAAAGGGCAACTGTGATGTTTCCTCTGTGTTAGCACAGTCAGGCTTTGGCATCTGTGGGGCACTGGTTCAAGGACACTCCTTGGAAACCAAAATCTGAAGATACTCAACTTTTTAAAATCTAAAATGGCATAGTAAATATCCTATATACATCCTCTCATATACTTCATATCTCTGGATGACCTATAATACCCAATACAATGTAAATAATTGTTCTACTGTGTTGTTTAGGGAATGATGACAAGAAAAAAGTCTGTACATATTCAGTACAGATACAGTATGTGTGTGTGT